GGGGGGGGGGGGGGTGAAACAGCCTCTAAAATTTTTCTACCGACATTCATGCATGCATGTTGGGTAGACATCCAAGAACGGTACTGACTTTACAAGCACAGTGTTGTTTGTGTGTCGAAATATGGGAATATGTATAAAAATGCATTAGGCATACTGTTGTATTTGTCAACTTACAAACTGATGCGTCTAGAAAATTGCACTTATCACCCTATGGCATCCTCCAGTCTGTTTGCTGCAAGTCTTTCTTGCTGCTTCTCCCCTATCGAAGCCCATGCACAGCAAGCAAAGGTCACATTCACTCTGCTTGCTAGTCAACCCCCAGAAACTTATTTCATGTTCTACATTGGCATACTTTACTTGGTCACTAAGAGCAATTATGCATGGCAAAAAACAGCTAGGTTTGCTTATCTTGTCTTCTTCACACTGAGGCTGCTGGAGCTATCTTGTAAAAACTGTATCATTCAAACAATCCCCATTTATTTGCAAAAAGCCTGCAGAATGCCTACATTTGTCATAAGATCTTTAAAACAACAGTTCTACCTATAAATCTTGTAATACAGACTGACAGATCTGTTCCACCAGGGATATCCAGCCATATGGACCCCCAGTCCTGCCCCTGAATGTGATCAGACCCACATGGGGCATGGTACAGGGCTGGTGACTGGGCCAAATCCAGCCCATGGACCACTTCCCCCACCCCGCTCCCCTCCTCTCAAGCATACCTGATCTGGCAGCTTTTCCAACCCACCTGGGATTCACGCTGCATACAGCACAGATCCTGGAGCAGCCAGAACAGGCACCATGTGGGGCACAGACTGAACAGAGCAGCAGCTGTGCTGCACATGGTTGTTACCACAGTCAGACTTCTCCACAGCACCTGCTCTGGGATATCTGCCACACACAGCAGCTACTCCAGCCGTTCTGGCACATGCAGAGCACACACTACTCACAGGGACAACATTCAGTGTGGCTCCCAGACCAGATGGAGCAGACACCATGTGCGGTAAAGTCCTGGAGCTGCCAGGGGCAGGCACCACATGCTACAAAGCACAGCTAGGGCAGCCACCACATGCAGCACAGCTGCTGCTCAGGCCAGAATGCCATAGCACCCATTCTGGCTGCTCCAATATCCACAAACAGCACAAGTGTCAGGCAGCCACCAAGTCAGATATGCTGGGGAAGGGCAGGGGGGTGGGGGTCAATGGGTCCAATCTAGCCTGCGTACCAGCCGCTGGCACTCGCCTGGCCTCTGGGGCCAGATGAGCTTGACAACCCTGCGCTACACCCTTCTGCGATACAACACTGACAACCAGTAAGTGCTGCTATATATACACTTAGTAAAATACTGTTTTTATTCACTACCATACATCTCCCCGTGTTACCGTATTTATTAGAATCCAAGACAAGGTTTTTCCCTGCAAAATCAACATTGTGGGGAAGCCGCCTTGTTTTTTATTCAAGTAGAGGCCCAGGGTAAGCAGTGATTCAGCTCAAGCTTTGGCCCAGGGTCAGGATGATCAATGTAACAAGGGAAGGGGCGCCGGGTGGGGGGGAGCATAGGGGAGACTGTTGGTAGGAGTGGGGAGCACGTGGGTGAGACCACTCTTAAGTCTGCAATTGTACTGTCACTTGGTCTTCTACTAGCCTCTGAACAGTGTACCACTACCATATTGCATTCAATTGCTACTATCTGTATTCACCAGCCACCATTAGAGTAATTACTAAGTCACATGCTGTTTATAATAAAGGCATGGCTGGAT